AGGTCCCGGCGGTCTCGCAGTCGGTCTAAAGAGAGGGATAAAGACCGTGGAAAGAAGAAACTTGACAAATCAAAAGATCGGTCTCGCAGCAGGAGCCGAGAGCGAGATAGACACCGGCATAGAGACAGGAAACACACTCCTACCCCGTGAGTTGCAGTTTATAGTCTGAACCATGTGGCTTGGAGTCATTCATTGTAGCAGAATCATGAAATTTACTGTGAAATCTCTGCAACTTTGATTGGATTAAAAGTACTTTTATCAGATTTAGGTTGTGAAGGATTACACTTTGTAAGTTTTAATTTATGTCAGTACTAATAGTTGTCTTTGTAAACAATTGCAATTTTAGCAGTTTTCACCAACACTCAAATAATCTGACAGGATGCCAAGTTGTTTTTTCATGCCCTAAAATATTGTGTTAATGGCAAGTTGCTCATTTACACTGAATGTGGTAGTGTTGTCTGCCTCAACAGTTATGATGGCCACCTTGTCAGTATTGATAGCAGATAGGAACATCTCTACTGGCACAACACTCTTACTGTGTTACACAAGAATCTGTAGCTCAGTTGCCTCAGCGATAGGGATCAGCTGAGATTGAAATGTGCAAATGAGAAATAAAATTTTCCCAAACCTCCGTTTTACACATAGTGAGTCTTTTCTGTCATTTGCAGACCGAGCGTGTTCAAAAAGGAGGATGAAGAACAGAAGGCACTGAAGGAGGAGTCAGTGGAAGAAGCAGAGCCCAAGAAGGAACCACTGTCACTTGAAGAGCTGCTCACCAAAAAGCAGGCTGAGGAGGCAGCTCGCAGTAAGGTGAGACACTTCATTTCTTTGGTTTTGAAAGCTTCCTGTGTCCTAGTATGCACTGTACAAGCTTTGTGCAAGTTAACTACATTGGTGCAGGCTGGTGGTTTTACAAACAAACAGAATGTGGACCGCTGATCTGTCTCTTCCTGTAAATTACATGCAGCATAACAGCTAGGATAAGCATTTGCCAAGTTGGACTGCCTCTGAAACGTCAGTAAACTTCTACTAGACTGCATGGCACAACAACCCAGAAGACAGCCATCTTCAGACTCACCATCGTGAAAACCTCAAATTCTACTTAGCAAAGGGGTTATCCCTCTAAAACACATACCACCTTCTTTAAGAATAAGTAGCCCTGCATTTTGCTCACAAACTGTAGTTATGGGTTTAGTATGATTCCCTGAGTAAACAGCGACTATTTTCCCAAACAGCGTGCATTTTGTTTTTCTTCAAGGTAGAATTAGAATTTTTAAATATTTAGACAAACTTTGACTTCAGAGTGTTAAGAGCAAGTAGTGGCTTAATTATTCAAAATCAGTTGCACATTGTAAGTTGGAATTGAATGTGATTTAAACAGAGTAAGTATTTAATATTCTGGATTCCTGTACTTTTCTGTATGATGACTTCTTCTCATAACCTGCATAGGCAAATTTAACTGAGTTTACTGTGCATGTCAGTGATGAGGTTTGAACACACATACTCTTTGTCCAGCCCAAGTTCCTGTCGAAGGAGGAAAGAGCTGCTGAGGCCATTAAGAAGCGGCAGCAAGAAGCAGAGGGGATACGACAGAGAATGGAGGACGAAAAGAAAAGGAGGGCAGACTTTGGCAAGGAGGCAACAAAGGCCTTTGATGATGTGCGCAAGATGGACAAAGACCAGGATCGAGACAAAGATAGCTTTAGGTAACTGGGGTAGTGGTTCCCAGCCTTAACTACATCTGTCTGTCACCATTTATGAGGTTATGGAACAGGCCACCGTGAAGGTGGAAAAGTTGTTGGGTTTGTCTAAGAACTTTATCTGTTTAAATAGTAAAATTTTTGTTTCCTTCAATTTTGCCACTGGTCACAGATATCATGTTATCGTTTACTCAAGTAAATACAGCATCAAATTAGTACTATAGCGAATTTGGAATGCTAACAATTGTTTTGCAGGAGACGGGACAAGAAGGACAGGGATGAAGACAGCCAGTACTCAAAGGACAAAGAGAAGGAGGTGGAGGCTATTAGAGAGCGCTACCTGGGCCTGATTAAGAAGAAACGTCGTGTGCGTCGACTTAATGACCGCAAGTTTGTATTTGACTGGGATGCCTCAGAAGACACATCTGTTGATTACAATCCTCTTTACAAGGAGAGGCATCAGGTACAGTGTAGATCACATTACAGTTGGTTCACTGCACCGTAAGTGTTGGAAATGGGTACCGATCTACTGAAGAAAATTAATCAATGTGGAACATGTTTACTGTTTTCACTCCAAACATAACAATTTGGGGAAGTATACTTTTTCTACATAGCTACATTTCCCATTATTAAAATGTTTGCCTCATGTTAGTAACAGGTTTTGTCAGTGAAATATTCAGTGCTGTGAAAATTTTAATAGTATGTTTCAAAAACTTCTTTTGGTATGCAAAAGGCTAATTATACCATACTATTTTATTCTGTAATGCTTGAATGATACTTTATTGCCACATGGACTACAACAAGTTATCTTTGCGTAGGTTCAGTTCTTTGGCCGAGGTAATGTCGCGGGTATTGACATCAAGGCCCAGAAACGGGACCAGTCAAAGTTCTATGGAGAGCTGCTGGAGCGGCGACGAACAGAGGCCGAGAAGGAGCAGGAGAAGTTAGTCATTCACGTTCTCATAGGCAGTGTATTGCAGTATCAGAATATGTACCTTTCAACAAGTGATCAGAAAATTCTTCCCTCTCCCTTTAGTTTGCAGTGTTATTTGTGGCTGCTGTGTTTGGTGTAAACAGACCTCTTATGCTCACTTCACTAATTTTGTGTTTTGGCTGTGGCCATCTTCAAAAAATAAAAGAAATAAGACTGGCAGTGAGGGAAATAGAATGTCACATGATGTTTTGTGCAATATCCTACCTTTATAATGGTGCAAATAAGCTTTTCATTATGTAACTTAACTTAATTCTCATGTGTT